CAACAAACCTTAGCTCAATATCTGTAAATTTGAATATGTTAAAGCAATTATCTAAAATAACTATAAAGGATATTGAAATTCAGAAATTAAACTCAAATTTAAAACAAATTACTAACAAATTGTCCCTATTACTTTATGCTCTCACAACACAAAACATGTCGTCGTTAAATGTAAAAACATCCACGGAGAATTTCATTTCAGGAACAAAAGCAGATCACTGTTTTCACATTGCTTCATTATCTAAACCTCTTTTAAGATGGCGTGCAAACTGCCACCAAACAAACAAGCCGCCGCCCCGTTTAATCAAAACTACACCCACTTGGGGCATTGTGGTCAACTCCTTCATGTAAAAAAAAACCTCCACGTTTAATTAGCTCTGATGAACCGTAGTATTAAGTCTAATTTCAGCCTTCACATTTTTTTTTATTATTATTACAAATAGACTGCCTGTAGCTTTAATCCCCGCCGCCACCCCGTTTCTTTTTTTGCTTAATGACAAACCTCTGTGACATTGTGGCTGAAATAAAACCGGAGAGGAACAAAAACATGAGTCATTCAACCCGACTGGAGCGCTGAATGTTGGGGGTTCTCATTATAACCAAGTTATCTGCAGCTCCCGATTGGAGTGAAAGGGCTTGATTGGAGAGAAGGGGATGCTAATGACACAGTGAGGGCGGAATGTCACCCGGCGCACATTAAACATTTAGACATCTGTTGAGAGAAAGTGCAACTGCAACGTGCGCCGCTCTGCTTCTAGCCACCAGCGACCACCACAGTGCACACAGAGCAGGAGAGTGACAAGCTGACTAATTTGGCACACAATTAGAGACTCTGCCAATAAAAGCTACTCGTCTTCACCTCCGCATCGATCTGTTTTTTTTCTTTTTTTGTGCAAATTCACAATTCCTCTCCGTCTACGATCGAGTTTTTCTGACAGCAAGGCTGAAAGAAGTACGTTTTTATGGCCCAAACGGCGTTCTTATTGGGTTTTGTTTCAGCCTCGCCTGGTAAAAAGTTGAACTTCAATTTCCTGGTTTGAAAGAGATTTGAAACAAGCTCTGTGCCATCGAGTCAATGCTACAAACACAAGAAGTCTTTATACAACAAATCTCTTTCTGAGAACTAGTAGGAAAACTGCATTTACAAGAGGAGTTTCCAAAGCGTCGTGTTGGGTTGGGCAGAATCGTATCATGTGCAATTAATCGCCAGAAACAAACTGTTGCCAGTTAATATTTGGCACTTGGTGAGTAATAGGATTAGTGCTGCGGGCACTCTTCCTCTGCAAGGTTATAATAGTTTTGGATTTTTCTTTATAGTTTAGTTTTATTTAGTTTTTACAGTGGTGAAGAAATTTATAGTTGTTAGAGTTTAGTACTGATAGTACTGATGTTAAAGGCACAACACTATATTTTTAGGTTTTCCTTTTATAATGTTTAATCTATTATGTGTCAATTGATATAGATTAGTTACATGTCCGAAATATCTATAACAACACATATTTATCCGTTATGAGAACAGTAGGTAAGAATTGTGTATGAATGCCCGTGATTCAGCCGTAGGTCAGTAGGGGGCGAACACGGGCGTTGAAGACTCTGTATAAATGGATCAACTTCCTGTTTGGCCGGCAGTGTGTGTGGTTTCCTGTCAGATCCGAATGGCATTAAACCCTCACTCCAGAATTCTGGTTTTGTATGGTTTTATCCCGTCTAACAATCATATTATTTAACATTGGTGGTTTTCTAGTGACTTCAGTCTTTGAACACGAATATTTCTTACAGTGGATTTGCTAGTTTTTATTAGTTATTATTGCATTTAATACTTAGTTTTAGTTTCGTTTTTATTAGTTCTAGAATTAGTTTATTTTTTCACATAGTTTATTTGTCAATGCATCCTCAAGCTTGTGATGTTCCTGTCAGTTAACTAGCCAACAGCTATTTGGTCACTAGTTAAAGCAGTTCATTATAGCGACACCTTCTTAAAATAATTGTGTAACTGAATTTTGCCAGCTAAAACTTGGGTGATTATTTTAGGAYGATGRCAATATTTGTCTCCAACCCGGGGCTACCTGATGCTTGTTTTTCACAGGAGCTACTGAGAGAAGAGGACGTTATGGATCATGATGTTCTGTAAGCTGCCCACAGCTAGTGTGAAACTACTCGATTTGGAAAAAACAAAAAAGATCCACATGTCTCAAAATAAATTGACAAACACTAAAACTAAGAATATTCTGTCCATAATTTCAGTTAGTTTTAGTTAGTTTTGTAAAATGATTATACAGATTTAGTTACCGTAGTTATCTTCT